AGAGAGAGAGAGAATACCTGTAAAATCATCACCGAGAAGCTTGTAGTCTGAGGTGATATTTGAATAAGAAAATCCCACACCGACCGGTGACTCCAGAAATAAAATATTGGCTACTGCAATCGAGTGTAGTGAAAGAATTTTAATGGGGGCAGAGAGTTGGATAATGGGGACCAGGAAAGTGCAGAAAACTAGTGTTTGATTACTCGACCGAGCCAGCTCGGACACACCCAGGATCTTCAAAAAATTAAAAAAAAAATAAGAAATCATTTAGTAATATGTTTTCTATCATGCTTTTTCTATCGTGTTGGTAAAGATGACAAAGTATTTTGGGTATGAATATTTATTTATTTATTTATGTTTTCTTTTTTATTAGGGAAAAGTTTATATAGAGCCAAGGCTCTAAACAGTCAAATTAGAGCCCCTCTCAAAAATGTCACTAAAAGAGGTTGTTTGAGGTTGTTTTGATGCCCAAATATCCTAAAATCCATATCTTAACATCAAGATGCATGGACAAGAAAAAATAAGTGCATTTGTTAATGCATGTTTGGAACGTCAATTTTTTAAATTTTCAATTTTTCATAGATCTACTTGATCTACACTATTTTTTAAACATTAAATTTTATAATTAGATATGAAAATATATTTTTAGGCATTAAATTTTATAATTAGATATGAAAATATATTTTAAGGCTATTACAAAGATTTTCGATGTTGAAACCACATTTCTCGATATTATCTAAAGGTGGGCTTTTATTGCCTCAGCTCTATGCAAACTACACCCATCACAAATTGATTTTTTTTTTTTCTGGAATCTATTTTTTATCAGCATTTAGATGTTTTGTATAATTTTACTTTAAAACTATTTTCTTATATTTTTTTAAAAAAATTTACTTTTTAACATTATTTTGCCTTGGCAAGAACTTGGCCAACTCGGGCCGAGTACTTGGCTTGAGCCTGAGCCGAAGCACCCGGCTCGAGTCCCTCTTTACAACACTGGAGGAGACCACCTACCCCCATTCCAAGCGAAAGGGTTGAGCTTAAGGCCATTGGAATCCACAAAGAAAGGACCAATCTCTTGTGTTGCCCCGTAACCCACTGAAGAACACCCCGGACCTACAAAACATAAATCACATGTACCATCATAACCCAGCTCAGGGAATGATACAAAACAAAAAGGGAAAGTGGCTGGGGTCGTGGTGCTAGCACCCAATACCCTAGTCACCATGGAGTGGTTTTCATACCCACCACAAACACTACCCTACTGACTTTTAATGGGGAGGGGCTTGTCTTCTCCATTGAATTACTAAAAATAAATAAAGAAAAAGAAAAAAAAAGCATTGAATAAAAAGAATTAAAGAAAAACAAACTGTGTCGAACCCAATAAACTTAGGTGCATTTACTATTTTTTTTTACTGCAATAATGTGAATACAAAGCAGGTTATATTTTCCTTGGAAATGTTGATAATTGGTTCATTTACTTTCATTCAAGAAAGTCATAATCATTGTCAACCATTGAAATCGAGCGGCTGAAGGTGTCTCATTGACTTGGCACAAAGTCCAGAATAACTTTCTTGAAACTATATCACACATTTTAAACCACCAAATTTCACATCATCAATCATGATCAACCATTAGATTTGAAATCAAGTGGTTGAAGGTGTGTCATTGACTTGGTAAAAAATCTACAACAAACTTTCTTGAACTATATGACAGATTTTAAACCATCAAATTTCACATTTGATGACTTATTATGATTATGACATCCTCGTATAAAAATTAAGTGGTCTTATACTATATAATCCCATAAATTTTTACAAAACATATGCATGGTTGTCACCTTATAAAGTTTTAACTACGAAATTATGAGCATTCAAACTTTGGCCAAGTGAGAGCGGTTCTTTTAGACAATAATGAATATAAGTAATTATGCGCACCAAATAGGAAGTGCATGTACCAAAATTAACAAGTCTACATGATGATGTATTCGTTCTGTGTAGTTCTATTAGGGAGACCTTAGGACCCTTTGCATTTCATAGTGCGAAGACCATGTTCACATGCTAAAATATAGGAAAAGGGGGTTGTATTATATTACTATACAATCGTTGCATAAAATCGTTTTTTTTTATCTTTTATATATGGAGGTCACAATCATTATTGTCTTTTAAATTTCAAAATGGGTGGTTGTAAAAATGTCATTTACTTTTTCGAACTTTGTGATTCACCCCATGCCATCCAATTTTACCTCTAATGATTGATAATAATTATGACCTCACGCTACAAAAGAAACAGACAATCCCTCAAATAAGGTTGAAAATTTATATGAACTTTTTCATAAATAGATATTCATGCGCCTTTCCAAGTGGTTGTGAAGACGAGTGCGTCCGTGCCTATACTTTTTGGTGTCCCATGGCCTCTAAACTTTAATGAATTTTGTATTTACATGTTTCCACTCGTTGTTTAGGGCATGTTGGTAATGTGAAAAGGCAAGCTTGAAAATGACACACACATAAAGGGTCAGTATATGTCTTCTCCTCATGAAGACATGCAAGGCACCTTTTGTGTTGAAAAAACAAAATTAAAAGCAAAACCCAAATAACTGCCAACTAAAATCTAGAAGTTATATACTAGGTGATAAGTCTCATATAAATTGGAGAATATCTCAATGCTTTGAACTAATATCTGATGACCCAATTGTCTTAATAGTTTGTATAGATACTACCTCCATTGAGCCACAATACTAGAGGCTTCTGTTCTGGATGAGAAGCCTCAAAGAACCAGTAAAAGAGAGCCCTCCCATTCTCTTCATTCACAGTCACATAACCTGCATAGTGCTCAAACCCCACCATGGGCTGGCCTGGCAAGTTAGTGACCAAATCCTCACTAGACCAAGAAAACTCCCTCTTGAGAGGCAACCAAAACTCTCCCCTTGTTCCCAAGGCAGGCCCCATAAAGTAGAATACAACCACACAAAAGAAGAGAGAATTCAATAAACAACCCATTTCCCTCCAAACCAAATGCATAGATTAAACTCTCTACACCTCAATGGCTTGCAAATGCCTAAGACCCACTTTTATACACCCCAAAAGGAGCTTAGATACCATGAGTAAAGTCCATAATCTAAAAAAAAATTATTAAAATGGAAAAGTGCTATTGACCTACCTGGCCATGGTTTTTGACTAGGCAAGCAGCTATGTCCCATCTGACATGGACCTTTAGGCAGGATTTGGGCATTTTTGTGCAATGGGTGAGTGGAGTCTCCATTTTTTGGGTGTTGGGTTGATGTGTTCAACCCTCAGCCAAGGTTTGGCCTATGAATTACTAGTGGGTGTTGAAACCTGACTGGGATTCCAACTTTTCATTGGATGAGGGAAAAAGCATGAAAAACCTGTGCAGCTTCTCTCTTTCTCTTTCTCTTTTTCTTCTCTCTCTTCTGTGTCGGTAAAGTCCCATGACAGTACGAGTGTATCTCACTCTTGACAGGGCTGGCAGTGGGCTGGGTGGCCGGGCCCTAAAAAATTAGGGCTTGGGCCACAAACTGTGGCCTTAGGGCCAATGCTGGCCCAGTCAGGCCCTTTTTTTTCTTGTTCTTTCTTTTACTTTAGCTTCATTTGATTTTGGCTGGCCCGACCCTAACAAGGCCAGGGCCAGGCTTGGCCCACAAACTATGGCCTTAGGGCCGGTGCTGGCTCAGTTCTGTCTAGTCAGGACCTTTTTTTCTTGTTTCTTCTTTTACTTTAGCTTCATTTGTTTTTGGCTGGCCCAACCCTAATAGGGCCGGGACTGGGCTTGGGCTGGCCCTAGGGAGGCCCGGCCCCGATTGCCACCCTTATCTCTTGGTGGGGCTTCTTCTAACATTCTCCTCTTTGCACTAGGGGAAGGTTGGGGGGTTCCCATGTTAACCCTAACTTTGAAGGTTCTCACACTTACCTAAAATAGAAAGCCTACTCATTCAAATCCGTTTCTTCCTTTTTCCCAAAATATTCTTTTAGAGAGTTCCATATTGTTATGAGCATGGGAAATGTGCCACATTTCGATTTGACACGCTTTTGATCATAGCATGTGTGGGTCCACGTGTCCATTGATGATAAGATTGGTTGGTCCAAATCCACATAGGCAACGTATTGAGATGGGATTTGTTAGTTCAAAAAGTTTAAAAATTTGAGACTTTAGTAGCGGATAATTCTTGTCGCTTTGGTAAGATATCGTTTATCCCTTGATGCAATATGGTTGAGGCATTAATCATTGCCTCCGGGGTGGCAATTTCAGTCAGTCAAAGGTCAAAAATAGTGTTGTCTCACTATCTTCTTCATTCTTCTTTTAGTGGACTTTATAAGTAGTGCCTTGGTCCAATTTGGATGGGTTTTGTTGGGTCCGAGTTTTTGTTGCTTTCAAGGAACCTGTGTTGGATAAGTCTGAATCAATTAAGATATCTTTTGACAGATTTCGACATTTAGTTTGATTGAAATTAGTAGTTTTTCCTAAGAGTTACAAACTACCTGCTACGGTGCTACACTAGTATGATACCTAGGGTTTAGAGTTATAGGTTTATGGATACAGAACGAAAAATAGGCAAACCTTGATCTTCAAGGGAGATCGTAAGCAGGAAAGGGGCTGGCGTCGTGGTGGTAGCATCCTCACGCCCAGTTACCACATTGTGGTATCCATTCTTATCATTGTCTAACACCATCAATTGTAACACCTTCAAAACAAAAAAAAAAAAGAGAGAGTGAGAGAAAGAGATCCTAAACTCCATCCATCCATATTTGTTTGTCTTTGTAGCCAAACAGAAAGGATGATATTTCTTTGGCATTCTGGTAAGAAGAAATTTTGCAGCCAAACAGAAAGGATGGTAAATCTTTGGCATTCTGGTAAGAAGAAATTTAGCAAAGCAAAGAAGGCTTCCTATAAAAAAACAACAAAAGATTTCATGTGAAGAGGGCAAAGTCTTCAATATTCCCTCTGCCCCCTACTATTGCCTCTACAACTTTCCTTCAAAAGTATATCCCGTTTTCACAGCCACATGTTCTTTGTGTCCTTTTTCCTCTTCCTCTTCCTGCAACTTGCATTCAACAGCACTCCCCTTTTGTAGTTGTATCTTCTTTATATCCCGTTTATAAAGATATGCAACAATGTTGTTTGGTTAGCTTCTAGAAAAACTCGATTTATGAGAAATCCCTTATTTCGCTCTACTAAGTTGAAAATCAGGTTTTGGAAATTTGTTGTTAAACCAATTTAGTGTTCATTTCATATATTAATGATTCCATAGTAGTTTAGTCGTTTACTTCATATGTTAATGATTCCATAGTGTTGTGTGTCTAATAAAAATAATTTTTTGAAAATAAGACATCCACAATATGATAATAATAATAATAATAATAATAATAATAATAATAATAATAATAATAATAATAA